GACAGGCAGCAGACCAGCGCACCAGTTCCTCGCGAACAATCTGACGCACATCCTTCCGCCAGATGGCCTTCCGCTTTCGTCGCAGCATTGTGATCGCAAATGCATACTCCACCAGCACGCAGATGACGAAGATGATGGAAAATATGAGCCAGAGATCGAGGGCTTTGATGTAGGAAACCCTTGGCAGGCTTGTCGTCATGGAGGAGGCCTGAGTAAGAAGACCAAGGAGACTTAGCAGACCCAGAGGCACGCGAGCTGGAGCCGCGTCCACGTTGACCCAGAAGCTTAAGAAGGAAACCATGATGATGAGGATGTTTGGAATGTAGGTAGTTACAAGATAGGAGCCCAGTTGACGTTTGAGCGTAAATTTGGCTAGCAGGCAGGTGTAGGAGCCCGTAGAGGTGCTTGCCTTTGAGGTACAGTCAAGTGTTGTAAAGTTTTTCGGCGTATTGAACTCTGAAATCTGCAGCTTGTCTGGTAATTCTACAGGGGCCGTCTCACGCCAAACAAATTTTAGCTCACTCAACGTGTATCCGTAACTGCCGATATTGATATCACATCTTTGCGTGTCCATAGGAAAGGTTTGCAGATCCATCTGACAGGCAAATCTCATTGTAATCTTTTGGCTGTAGAGAACACCTCCATGGGGATAGACCCGGAGAAGGTAATTTGGAAGGGTCATTTTGTGCAGGTAACCATCTTTACCGTTTCGGAAGAAAAGATCAGGTAGCCAGAGCATTTCCTTCAGTCTCGGGGCCACCAATGGCTGCGTGTAGTTTCTAAAGGCCTCGGTTGTATTCCATGCTAGGCGAGGATCCACCCAGGTTTGACGGAGTAGCGCGTCCATGTAGTAGTCCATAGTTCTTACATCGACCGAGAAGATAGCCAAAACCTTCATATTCACCTTCACTACGGTCGGCGTCCCCAACATCTCCGTGGGTCGCTCGTGCGTCTTATAGTTAGAAAACAGCTCCTCCAACAGTAGTTCTCTCGGCGTTTTTGGTATTTTTTCCTTCAGGTT